GGTCGCACTGCTCAAATATGGATAATCCTTGTTAACACTGTAGTGGTCACATTTTTGACTCACCTGTCATGAGACTTGGTCAGAATGCTTGTCTAGGTAATTGTTTGGATGAGTTTGATAATTCAGGTGAGCGATCTAGGGCCATCATGGCCCTCTTGTTTTAAGTTATCACAAATATTGTTATATTTGCCATATTTTAAGTCTAGTCGTCGCCATAACAACATATTGTTCAACATAAGAAGAAAATAAAGAGACGTGTATAATCTCCAAACTTCATCTTCAATATCTGACCATATTTTAAGTTTAAAAAAAATCAATTATTTCTGCGTTATCACGGGATCCAGTTTTGTGGACGGAAGGACGGATTGACTGACGGAAAGACGGACGGTGCCTATAGGGAAATTATTAACTCGTTGTTTACCTTTGATTCTAAATTTAATTTGAATACTTATTGCAGATGAGTTTTACAGTAAATCTAGTATTTGGATTTTTTGACGGGACTGACACGATACGCATTCCGTCATGTAATCTTGACCTAGTGACGAAGGAAGGACCGAAAAATAATTTGTTTAAATGTTAAAAAGAAAAGAAATCAAAATGATATAAATCATTATTTAAAGTGGAAGAAACACTTATGTTACCTTATTCGGTAACACAAAATTGCTGATACCTTACCATTTTAGATCAAGATGCCAGCCAATAAATCTCGCGCAAGGGATATCCGTCAGTGTATGTCTACTGCTAAATTACAATTTTATGTCATTTTCTTTCATATGCCTCCAACTTATTGACAACTTCATTAAAGCTACATTTATTCTATTTTGAAGTTATTTGTTTTTTCGAGTTTCCTGTTGCTAGTGTTACAATTCATTCCCACTTTCCGATCTTGAAAAGTTTATCTGTGAAATTATAGATTGACAGTTATGTATTTTAAAGTTCATTTGACGTTCGTGCTATTGAATGTGATAAGAACTTCACAACTATTTAAGTCTTTTATGTTCCTTAATGTGTATATATCGGTTTTTATTTAACATTATTCTTGTTTGCTGCCACAAATTGAATATTTCAGAAAGTAATAACGATGGAAAAATATGTTTAAACTTCAGGAATATATGTATAATAATAACATGATACATAAACTTAGTATAATAGTCAATGGGTTGTTAACATATAAACTTCGTGGGGAACCAGTAAAGAATATAAGATTCTAGCGCAAATTATTATACACAGGACATAACTGATGAAGAAAGAAAAATTGACCTTCGGTGTTTTCTGTAGTTTCACGGTGAAATAGTAATAAACTGTCTGTGTATTTTGGCGAAGATTTCGTATACTCCCATCTACACAATAAGTACAAGTTTTGACCGGAGGTCATTTATGATTTTATATTCTTCATAGAAAATCTCGTCAAAATGGGTCAAATAACGAAGATAAGCGGTAAAATCTGGATTTATTATTGCTTTAATCACAGGCCACATCTCAAATCATTACAAAATATACATATATTATAGGATTATATTAATTAAAATAATGTGTTCTGTGGATGGATAAGGTTGGAGAAAACTTTTCCATTTTTCTGGGCAAATCACCCTTTCTTAACGGAATGAAGGAAACATATAAAGAAACTAGAAGAGTTTTAGTCACAAAAACATATGTCATTAGAAATTATGTATGGTCACTCATGTGAAGTACCAGTAGCTGGACTTTTAAAAGCGGCCATGATTTTTCTATTTATAGCTCTGACGGCCATTTTGTGCAGCGAAACGGAACGTGCCGGTAATGTGCACAACTAGAGATGGTACTGATCACTGCTGTGAAGTTTGGTTGAAATTCAACCAATTGTTTGACCTGTGAAGGCGAAAAGATTTTTCTATATTTAGCTCTGGCGGCCATTTTGTGTAGCAAAGTGGAACGTGCAGGTGATGTGCATAACTAGGGATGGTACTGATCACTCCTGTAAAGTTTGGTTCAAATTCTACCAGTTGTTTGATCTTTGAAGGCCGGAAAAGAATTTTCTATTTCTAGCTCTGGTGGCCGTTTCGTGCAGTGAAGCGAAACGTGCCGGAGATGTGCAAAACTATGGATGGTACTGCTCACTCTTGTAAAGTTTGGTTGAAATCCCAACAGTAGTTTGACCTGTGAAGGCCGAATAAGATGTTTCTATTTTTAGCTCTGGCTGCCATTTTGTGAAGTGAAGCGGAACATGCAAGTGATGTGCACAACTAGGGATGGTACTGATCGCCCCTGTAAAGTTTGAATGAAATCCAACCCGTAGTTTGGCCTGTGAAGGTCGGACAAGATATTTCTATTTTGAGCTCTGGTGGCCATTTTGCGGAGTGAAGCGGAACGTGCCGGTGATGTGCACAACAAGGGATGGTTCTGATCGCTCCAGTAAAGTGTGGTTGATATCCCATCAAAATTTTGACCTGTGAAGGCCGGACAAGATTTTTCTATTTTTGGCTCTGATGGCAATTATGTGCAGTGAGGCGGAACGTGCCGGTTATGTTTACAACTAGTAATGGTACTGATCACTCCTGTAAAGGTTGGTTGAAATCAAACCAGTAGTTAAACCTGAGAAGGGCAGACAAGATTTTTTCTATTTTAAGCTCTGATGGCCATTTTGTGCAGCGAAGAGAAACGTGCCGGTAATGTACACAACTAGGGATGGTACTGATCACTCCTGTAAAGATTGGTTGAAATCTCACCAGCAGTCTGACCTGTAATGTTGACGGACAGACGACGGACGACCGACCGGACGGACGGACAGACAGACAGACAGACGGCAAAAGCAAAAATAATATGTCTCCCAAACATTTTTATGGAGACATACTAATAAATTATTCATAGCGCCTATATGATTTAGAATAGTGTTAAAGTATTTAAGTAAAGAAAATAGGGCTAAGCAACGGTTATCGCGGGAAATCAACCCCAACTTTTACATTGTTGATAAATATGTCTACTGTATATATTTTTTCTAAATTATTTTTTACGGATAATATTCAGCCATATATATAATGAAAAGATAGCGGATAGATCTACCAGTAATTAATTCACCTTTAATGAGGTAGTTTTTTACACGCTGATGTAATTTTTTTTTTTTACAAGTTATAATTATCAAAAATATTTTGTTATATTCTAACTATTTTGTCCTACTTAGACTCTGACCTCCAGAGGGTAATATGAAAAAAATGAAATAAAATTTATAGTAAATGGTAATAACTGATCTTGTTAGGTTTATTGTAAAAATCCATCATTACTGACACCTTAATTCAAGAAAGAATGTTGATAAAAGCGTTAATATATCGGGTTTTTCTTTTCCATAATCTACTACGTTACTAACGCAGTAGCCAATATAAATAGGAGAAGATATTTCATTTAACGCGGTCAAGTGTCACAACAGTGATCCGGAAAAATCACGGTATCCGGTATGCCCGGGATCGTTTATCAATTTTCGTCTTTAAAGTGACATTAGGCCGCTATTCCATTAGTACGTGACCCGTGACCCGCGTCAGTGATCCGTGTCCGGGCATGTCCGTGGGTATTATTCCATAGGTACGTTATTTTCTATATACTTTTATTTGAAGTATAGCGAACAGAGGATAATTATTTGTAGAATATGATATTATTTCATTCTAATACCAAAAACAGTTGTAACATTCAAAGAATTAGGTAACAAACATTGAATATCAGTTAGGTTTTCAAATAACAATCTAATGAGCAACCGAAGACAAGATGTTGTTATTTTTAATCTGTCATTGCTGCATTCATAAACTTATAGGTCTCCCACACTTATTTTGGTGAGCTCTTTAGTCATTTTCTTTCGAAATCGATAAAGTAATTTAATTTTTTCGTTCGAAGCATTTTTTAGGATGAGACATGTCAGTGTCTGTCCGCGTCCGTAAAAAATCGTCTCTCATCCTGCGAAACGTCGCGGATGCCGTCGCGGAAGCGGATTGTAAACGGACAAAAGGAATAGATACAACGTATTCTTTGATTAGCGAATCGGTAGCGGACGCGGATGACGGACGCGGACCACTGATCACGTATAAATGGAATAGCGGCCTTATGCTCATATGTTCATTGTCAAGTTGAGCTGAATTGACTTTATATTTCAAAAGATTGTCTGTCAAAATGGTGTTTGACTAAAAGTTGATATTGGAAAATGTTAAGGATAAAATTGTAAATTTGCCTAAAATTTAAAAAGAATGCCCCACTCTTTATAAACTGAGAGTTATAGGTAAGTTCTAATGTATATTAACAGAAATATCATTTCGATCTGTGTGTTATTTATTGTTTACGCAAACTTAATTATTAATTGAAAGGATTTTTTGGCAAAATGAAAACTTATTTTGATCTTCACCCGTTCACTCACTTTATACCTTTGGATGGGAATAATGTCACTTTAAGTAGGCCCTATTTCATTTTAATTTAAATCGATAAATTGGGCATCATATATATGAAATAATTAATCAATTATAATTTTAGTGCCAAGAAATACTACAACGGCACAATTTTTATTATATTATTCAGTATGTTGACTGTCGTGTATTCGGAGTATATGAAATGCTTGGTCATCCGACTTTTACCCTTTGAAAATGGTTAGCTCTCAGTATTCTTTTGGCTTTACTCCGAAAAGCAATAATTATTTAAATCAAGGTACCATGTATACTTATAGATCTCCATCAAACATCCCACTGACGTTTCACTTCCTCGTTACCATGTTAGTATTCTGCAACCTGCTTCTCTTATTTTCGTTACATTATGAAATATTATCCAAAACTCAAGCTAGACATAATGTCATACAGCAACCAAGAAAGTTATATCCGAACCTGTCTCGTCTTAACTCAAACCTATTGTTTACTTACGGTTGTATTCGGATTCCTTTTGTCAGTGTTTTAGTATTATGGGCATTCGGAACTGCCTCGGCTATTATCTATAATATTAACCTCGGAAACAATACTGTAGTACCGTATGGTAAAGGTTCCGGAAGTTAACGAAGTCTGACGAGCTTACCGGAAGGAGTAGTTCCGAGCATACCGGAACTAGTGAGGCAGTCCGGAACTGATAGCTGAGACGCCATATTGATATATAAGTTGAGCTGTTATTATCTGGCAGATTCTGTGCAACTACAGACCATCCAAGGAAGGTAATTGCTTTGATTGTATTTACAACCCTTTGTAATCAATCTGCATAAGTTCTATATTGGTGGCAGCGGTTTTTTTTTACGAATTCCGCCCCGGAAAATATTCGCTACCATTAAAAAAATTTTTTCCGTTAGTGTAAGAATTTGCCCTCAAATTCTGCACTTGTAGAACGAAGTATACCTAAATTCTTGGTATTGTTCATAGTAGTCCAATCTACTTGAACGATTTAAACCGGAATTTGAGTTGGAATCTTCGTAGTTGAGCAGGAATTGCCATATAATTCTGCTTGATTGAACGAAAAATTTTGTTGTTTTTTTCGGATTTACTTTTTATACTGCTGCCACTGGTAAAGTTATCTATTAGGTAATTTAAGTCCCTCGTTCCAGTGTATCCTTTTTGCTATTTATTTAAATAGCGATAGATATTATTGTTTGAATTGAACCCTTTCAATTTAAAGGAATAATTTCTGTCGGTTCATGGAGGGGGATTTGCTAAAAAGTGAATCCTTAGATTTTGAGTATCCACAGGATGCAGAGGTTAGGCATTCACCCTTGAATGCTATGTCTGGGAAGCCACCCTTGGTTTCCATTAATTTTGCTCCTGTGGACCAGTTACGGACGATTCCGCATGTGGGTACAAGCCTTGCCAAGGCTATTGTAGCCGTGCGGGAAAGCTCTGGTAACATTACCAGGGACGTTTTAGAGACAATCTGTCGACGCAAGTTCTCCCCTGAGATGCTTGCTCTGATAGATTTTACAAAAAATAAGTCTCTCTCGACTGACCGCAGTGGCGAGCTAGACCATTCTAGCTCGGAAGACGAGACAGATGAGGAGGCAGATATTAAACCATCTGCACGAGATTGGACAGAGATGGTTAAGGTGGTGAAGGCGGCGACATCGGTCCTTGCTGCACATAAGCAGCAGAAAAAATCATCTGATAGCACCCTTGCATCAGCTGATCAGACTTTTGCCAAGAAAAGTCTGACATTAATGTCTCCTGCGGATTTTACTTCCAAAAAGGTAAAACCCACACTCCCCCCAACTTTACCTAAACCACGCTATACCACTCCTAAACGTACCATACGTTTTAGGAATATAGTGGATAGTGATTCCGAGGATGATACCTCGGTTGTTCCAGTGTCATCTGTTCCTGATCGCAAGGGCCGTAATCCAATTTCGGCTCTTCCTAAGCACTTGTCTTTCGATGGCAGGACCCCTTGGGAACCGTTCTTCCTTAAGTTTGCCCGCTATGTCCAACAAGGCGGGTGGACTGAGGATGAACAGTTAAACTGCCTTGTATGGTGCCTGAATGGAAAAGCGCTGGAATACTATGCGCTTATCCATGATCAGGAAGGGTATCTTACCTACCAAGGTTTGGTAGCAAAGTTGGCTGCTCGATTTGGCCAACATGAGTTACCAGCAGCCGCACAGGTAAGATTTCAGAATGCGGTTCAAGAGACTTCAGAGTCCCTGGAGGAGTGGGCCGACCGTGTGCTCACTCTGGGTTATAGAGCTTTCAGGAAGCTCCCAGAAGAATTTGTCACTGCCCAAACAGTGAACAGGTTCTGCCAGGGTATGGTGGATAAAGAGGCGGGCCATCATGTATGCATGCAGCAACCAGAGTCTGTGCATGCAGCAATACAAATGGTCCGTCAGTACCAGCAGGTCCACTCTGCCATGTACGGTGACCGGAAGAGAAAACCGGAAAAGCCGGAAAAGGTTTTCGCTGTTGCCTCCCAGCCATCACGGGAGCAACAGGCTATGTCTAAAGGTGATCTGAGCCAAGCTCTAGATGACCTTGAGAAGCGTTTGGCAAAAACCTTTTTGTCAAAAATGTCACGTCCTCGCAATCGGACCACTGGCTGCTACCATTGCGGCGAGAAGGGGCATTTCAAACGTAATTGCCCAAAGCTTAACGGCGACCATAAGCCGTTAAACGACAACGGGACGGGGAAAAAGTAGGTCATTTCTCGTCCCAGTCTGCAGACAAGACCTGCACTGTTAAAAGATCCCGGTTGGCTGCCAACTTCAGCCAAGTAAGCACGGGGGGAGTCGAACCAGACCCTGTTGTTGTATGTCAGGTAAATTCCTCCTCTCAGTTTACCATGGGGGTCCAAGTAGGGGATGTACCAGTAACAGCAGTGGTTGATACTGCTGCCCAGGTGACCATCATTTCAGATAAGGTCTACAATTCCCTGAAGCACAAACCTTCCAAAATAAGGGATGTGAAGCTGCAAACCGCAGGCAGGGAATTGTCTATGGCAGCATTCGTAGCCGGTCCGATGAAGCTGAAAGTTGGTCACCAGTGGTATCAGGTCAACATGTATGTTGCTCCCATTGAGCAGCAAATGCTGTTGGGTTTTGATTTGCTGCGCCACCCCGGTGAATCGGTGTTAGATATGAGCAAAGCAGAGCTCTACTTTGATGGAATGCGCATCTCCCTAGATGTTCATTCATCCGATAGTCCCGTGGTATCCAAGGTCACGGTGTCTAAGAGACAAGTTATCCCTCCACATTCTGTAGCAAGGGTCAAATGCAGGTTACATACCCCCCTGCCCAGCTACATTGTGGAACCGGTGAATCAGAAGAAATTTCTGGCTCCCCGTGTGTTACATGAGGACACCAACACCCCTGTGTTGTGTCTGATCAATCCGTCGGATAGCTTTCGCCTCGTCAAGAGGGGAACCGAGATTGGCAGGGCATATGCTATCAGTGAAGTTATCGAGAATGGGTGTGATGTTGAAACATATTCGATCAACGAAGTGTTTGAAACATCAGGTGCGGTTGGTCCAATACCACCACACCTGCAGGAGGTCTATGATACCTCTTGTGGCAGCCTTGACGAAGATCAACGGGCTCAGTTGGCGCAATTGCTTATTGAGTTCCAAGATGTCTTCGCCAAGAGTGAGTTTGATCTTGGTAACTTCACTGACGTAGAACATGTCATTGATACTGGGGATGCAAGGCCTGTAAAGCAACGTATGCGGCGTACGCCGGCATGCTTTGCAGGGGAAGAAGAGGCCCATCTTCAGAAAATGCTGGAGGCAGGAGTCATACAAGACTCTATATCAGATTGGGCATCCGCTCCAGTTTTGATCCGTAAACGTGACGGCTCTGTGCGCTATTGCATAGACTATAGGAAATTGAATGAGGTTACAGTCAAAGACGTGTATCCTCTGCCTTTAGTCGATGATTGCATGGACACAGTTGCTGGCAGTGTATGGTTTTCGAAATTGGATGCCAATTCTGCATACTTCCAGTTAAAAATCCGAGAAGAAGACAGGAAAAAGACTGCCTTTATTACAAGGTACGGTCTTTTTGAGCATGTTCGCATGGGCTTTGGTTTGTGTGGCGCCCCCGCTACATTTGCCAGAGCGATGAACTTAGTTCTCAGAGGCTTAACATGGAAGACTGTCCTGGCATTTCTAGACGATATTATCGTGCTAGGACGCAGTTTTGAGGACCATCTCTCAAACCTGCGTGAGGCCCTTTCGAGATTTCGGAGGCATAAGCTTAAGCTGAAGCCAAAGAAATGTATCTTCTTCCAACAAGAAGTAGAGTTTCTGGGCCGAAAAGTGAGCAAGGACAACATTGCTATGACGGAACATGACATAGCTGTTGTGACTGATTGGCCTGTTCCAAACAGTGCCAAGCAGGTTGAAAGGTTTATGGGGTTGGTCAACTATCATAGAGGGTTTATAAAGGACTTCTGTAGGAAAGCAGCCCCATTGTACGCCGTCACAGGCAAAGCCAACTTTGTTTGGGGCGAAGAACAAGGAGAGTCATTCAGGACTTTGAAGTGCTTGTTGACGCAACCTCCGGTGTTAGCATTGCCTAACCAGACTGACAGCTTTATCCTGGATACGGATGCCTCCAATGATTCGATTGGAGCAGAGCTCTTGCAGGTGCAAGATGGCCAGGAGAAGGTTGTCGCGTATGGTAGCTATGCTCTCACCAAGGAGCAACGCAGGTACTGCGTGACCAGGAAAGAGCTGCTAGCAGTGGTTCGGTTCACCAGACAGTTCCGACACTACTTGCTAGGCAGACCATTTGTGGTTAGGACTGACCATTCCAGTCTGAGATGGTTAATGAACTTTAAGGAACCACAAGGGCAGCTGGCGAGATGGCTTGAAGAGCTGTCTCAATTTAACATGGTTTTGAGACACCGTGCAGGCCGTGAGCACTCCAATGCCGACGCAATGTCAAGAATACCACTGCAAAGTGGGACATGTCGAGGCTGGGTTGCTGGTGCACGCCTGGATCAGTTGCCTTGTGGTGGGTGTGTTTATTGTAAAAAGGCCCATGAAAATTGGGAGAGGTTTTTTACAGAAGTAGATGAGGCGGTACCATTGGTCATAAAACCAGGGGGGGCCATGGCCCCAGGTTTGAATGCTGGTTTGGGTGACCATGAGGGTGCCGGGGTCTCTGCCATCTACGGGGAAAGTGAAAGTTCAAATGACCTATCAGACACGAATGGCCAGCCGGTCCTTACCATTGGGGTCGGTGATCATGGTCAGCAGGGTCTCTCTGAAGGCCAAATCTTCAGTAGAGATAAGACCTGTGTTGAGAGTGGTTGCCAGGAGGAAAGAACCTGGGACATCAGGACCCTTCCTGATCCCGGGGATGTATTATTGCTGGCACAAACTTTGGAATATATCCCATGGGACATGCATGGCATGTCTAGAGGGGATGAAGTTGCTAGCATTAATATAGTATCCACCAGGAGATCAAAGCTTGCTACCAATGCAACGCCTTCTGATCAGGTGGGAGATAAGGAGAAAGATAGTTCTCCTGTGGTTACTAATCCAGTGGACAGGCCTAGTGACAGTGAAGCCCTGCAAAGTTGGGGTTTTTCTGTGGATGAACTCAGGGAGGCCCAAAGCCGTGATCCTGAGTTGAAGCCTGTACTGGATTGGTTACAAGATGGGACAGAAGCTGACCCTTCAGCTCTGTTTCAGTCAAGTCCAGGCACTAAGTATTACTGGTTAACTAGGGGTTCGATGCTCTTGATTGATGGTGTGTTATATCAAACTGACAAACACACTGATGACAAGAGGCTTGTGTTACCTGGTGTTTATAGGCAAGAAGCACTCGCTTTGAATCATGATTTGCCATCGGCAGGTCATCAGGGCGAGTCTCGGACAAAAGACCGAATTAAAGAGAAGTTTATTTGGTACAGTCTTGGTAAGGATGTGGCTAGTTATGTTTCTGGTTGTGCTGTGTGCAACCAAAACAAAAAGACAGCACATCAGGGGAAATGTCCTTTAATCCAATTTAGGGCAGGCTCCCCAATGGAACGTGTACATTTAGACTTCTTAGGTCCTTTGCCAAAAACACCACGGGGTAATGAGCACGTACTCATGATGGTTGACCAGTTTACCAAGTGGGTGGAGTGCATACCAGTCCCCAGTCAATCTGCCGAGGAAACTGCTCGCACGGCTGTCGATCAGTTCTTCTCCAGATTTGGTATGCCATTTGAGATCTTCTCTGACCAGGGTCGCAACTTCGAATCTAAGTTGTTTTGCGAGTTGTGTAAGGTTTTAGAGATCCATAAGGCCCGTACAACACCTTATCGACCTTCCGCAAATGGACAGGTGGAAAGGTATAACAGGACTCTCATGGATGCTGTCCGCTGTTTTATAGGTAAATCCCAGAAACAGTGGGACTTGCACCTTCAGCAGATTGCTGGAGCATTAAGGTCATCCGTCAATCGAATGACTGGTTTTACCGCCAACATGATGATGTTGGGTAGAGAGGTAAATACTCCGGCAGACGTGATGTTTCCACCAAAACATCGTGACGAGCAGTCACCAAATGACTATGTTCGTGAGCTTATTTCCACCATGGAGAAAGCCCATGAAACAGCTCGTCAGTCTATGAAAACCGCTTCAAATCGAATGAAGCGTAATTATGATCTGCGCATCCTTGAGAGAAACTATGAGGTTGGAGATGCAGTTTATTTGCTGGACACTGCCACAGTGAAAGGCAAATGTAAGAAATTATCTCCTCCTTGGAAAGGCCCGGGGGTTATTGTCTCTAAGCTTTCCTCTTACCATTTTAGAGTAAAGCTCCGTAATGCGGTCTTTGTGGTAAATCACGACCGTGTTAAACCTTGCAGGGATAGGGATTTACCTCGCTGGTTAAAGGTGTTTCAAGAGCACCCCAGTGATGATAAGGGAGCGACCGGTGATGATCGTGTGTACTGCTTTTGTCGCCAACCTTGGCAAGGCAGATTTATGATCCAATGTGATCACTGTCAAGAGTGGTACCACGGTTCTTGCGTTGATATCACGCAGACTGAAGCTTTTGACATCAATTTATATAAGTGTAAGGATTGTATTAAACGCTCTAAGAGGGTTGATACATAACCAACCATTTGATTTTTTGTGTCATTACAGATGTCTGCAGAGAAGATCCTGTCCAATACACAGGCAAAACGGCTAATTCCGCCCTCGGAGTTAGCCAGTTTGGTGACTGCCCTACCTGACAAGGCCAAAGCTATTGAGGCTTTGTTGGGGCAGGTGGACCTAGCCAAAAGGTCCAAGAAGAAGGGCTGGGCTAAAGGTTTAGCCAGGGAATTGGACAAACTCCAGTTCTACAGCCATTCATGGATTAGCCAGAATGTCCATGAATTGCCAGCTACTAAAAAGCTGGTGTGGAAGGAAGATCCAACAGGGACCTCCAAAGACATTCGCCTGGCTATTGATCCATCAATCCAGGTGATTCGCTCCGACTGTGGGACCAAACCCCACACGTCGTCAGAGTCCATCGCCCTGTTGGATGAGTTCGACATGGAGGTAGAAGTGGAGTCTGGGGATGAGAGGAAGTTGCTGGCCAGTCCACCCTGTTCACCTCTCAAGCCAAAGCCAGTTAGCCCTGTCAAACCAATTGTCAGGGCTAGCTCCCCAAGGAAGTCCTGGGCTGAGGCAATGGAGTTGGAGGTCCCTCTAACTCTTGTAGCCACAGCAGCCCCTCCATCGTCGGAGACTGTGACCATAACACAGTCTGCCGCCCAGAGGTCATACGCCAGTGTTGTGACTTCAGGGCCTTCGGATAGCCAAAAGCCGAATGTGGTCGAGCGTCTCCTGAAGTTATCTCAGGAAAAGGCCTCTGCTAGTTCTGACCAACCCAAAGGTCAGAATAAGGACCCTAAGAGTAGGAGAAATCCGAGTGGCCAAAACACTCGGAGGTCACACTACTCTGGGGGTGAGCGCCTTGACCGGAGGAGACCTGCACCGACCACTGGGGACCATGGCTCCGCTCCGAAGGAGAAGCACTCCAGGGTAGTGCCCGCCAGTGTCCCAAAGACATCTCGGTGCCCAGTGCCGGGTTGTTGTGGGAATTTCACACAAAAGCATGCCATGGAGGCCCACCTCCCTGGTGTCTTTTGGCTGTGTGTTAGTGGTGAAAGTGTCACCAATAGAAGGATAGGGGCATTGAAGCTAGTGGTCAGGTGGCTACTGGGGTTTAGCAGTACTTTGCTGAATCTTGTGGTTTACTTGGAGAGTGTTGGTGTGCCGGTTTCCCATGAAACCTGCTCCAGCGATCTCCAGAAGGCAGCGCACGAGTTCTGTGAGGCTCTTAGGGTGCCCGTACCCGAAGACCTCAGTCTAAAGAAACGAGGTAATGCTGTGACAGTATTGTTGCAGTGGCGTTGTCTTCTGACCTTGGTTTCAATGTTGGAAAGACATCAGGAAGACAGTTTGAAATCCATGTTCGAACTGTCTCCTGAAGAGAAGGAACTCATTCTGAGTGTCCCGAAGGCATTTGACAGCCATTGTCATTTGGATAGGACAGGGAGGGATATGGCCTTGTCTATTCCATCATTGGCTGCCGTTTGTGCCGGGAAGGCTCGGGGTGACGAATTCGAGGTCAAGGTCACGGGAGCAGCAACCATTTGCTGTGACCCTGACAACTATCCTTCGGATTCACTGATCCAATCCTGGGTCGATGAAGGTGTTGTCGTTGTTTGTGGCATCCATCCCAAGACGGATGTCACGGACAAGAGGTTAGAGCGCTTGGCCAAGATTTTGGAAAATCCAAATGTGGCCGGCCTCGGTGAGGTTGGAGTGGACCACACTCCCCAGCCTGATACCTGGTCCAACCAGATTTTGGGCTTGGAGAGGGTCTTGAACTTGCTCAAACCTGAGCATATTCTAGTGTTGCATGCACGCAGCATGTTGGATGTTGGGGATGAGGCCATCTTGTCCCTAATGTACCAACTAGCAAGCCATCCAAAGGTGCAGAGGGAGCAGTTGATACATCTCCACTGCTTCTCTGGTACCAAGGTGGTCATGGATCGTTGGATAGAGCAGTTCCCAAATACTTATTTTGGGTTTACCTCCATGGTAAGACTGTTCAAGCCATCGAATCCTGACCAGATTGCTGCTGTCCGTGACATTCAGCCCAGCCGAATGTTACTGGAGACTGATGCGCCGTACTTTGCACCACAGGGGTATAAACGTTCGACTCCGGCTTTGATCGGTACGGCAGCTGCCTGTGTCGCCCAGCTGACACACCGTGATTGGCGGGATGTTCTGCAGCAGACCAATGCTAATGCAGAACGTCTGTATCTCGATCGGAAGGCCCCTGCCTCCGATTGAGTACTTGGAGTAGCGTCCTGGCTGGAAGGGGTACGGTCCGGTCAGGTAGGTCCTGTTGTCCAGCCCTCTGGCACTTGGCCGAGTACCAGTACCGGTTTGAACCCGGGAAGCTCTAGTCTGCCCTAGGACTAGAGAGGCGTCTGCGATGGGTTAACTTCCGTGAGCCACAGTCCCCTCCTAAAGAATAGGACGGGGAGGAGTGTAGTACCGTATGGTAAAGGTTCCGGAAGTTAACGAAGTCTGACGAGCTTACCGGAAGGGGTAGTTCCGAGCATTCCGGAACTAGTGAGGCAGTCCGGAACTGATAGCTGAGAGTACGACGCCATATTGTTAGACGTTACATAAGTTATTGTTATCTGGCAGATTCTGTGCAACTACAGACCATCCAAGGAAGGTAATTGCTTTGATTGTATTTACAACCCTTTGTAATCAATCTGCATAAGTTCTATAATAAATAATGTATTGTTTGCTTTTGTACCTATGAATTCACTTATTTTATGTTGACTTTTACAACATATATTGGAAATAAACTTGTTGATAACTCCCAGCATTAAATTACTATTTGTTTACATGTTTAGTTTCTTAGCGTAGGTTAGACAGGAATACCGCATCCGTTCTGTGTATTCATACTATTGTGTTCGAGGTCCTTATCCGAAGACTGACGGAAAGGGCCGAGTAGTTGCGATTGGTATTATGGGTACATACATTTATTACAAATTGTGGCGATGTACATAAGAACCCTGGACCCAGTACAGCTAGATCGTCTTGTCCTCAGTATACGTTTAACAATCCTTCTTTTTTTCACACAACCACCTACCTTTTGTACATTATAATGTTCAAAGTATTCAAAAACAAGATAGATTTATTGTCTGTTGAGTAATTGGACTTCGATATTCTAGCTTTCACAGAAACTTGGTTTAAGCCGATTCTGTCTCCCGATGAAAATTCCTTCATTTTCATTTGCCTCTCCGTAAAGACAGATATGTTAAAACAATCTTCACTTCAAGCATAGAGCTGATCTTGAACCAAATAACCTAGAATACTTAAGGGTTCGAGGTTACATTGCATAACAACAAAAAAGATACTTTTTGGCAACTTTTATAGGCCACCTAACGCTGATTCAATTTATAATAGCTTAATAGAAGACTCTTTTTCACTGGCTGTCGATACTGGGTTTTCCGATATATTCATCACGGGAGATTTTAATTTCAATACTCAAAATCGTGAAACTGAATGTATGTATAATGTATGATTAAAATATATGCAATAAACATGTTTAAACCAAATACTACAAATATAAAAACAAAAGCGGTTATTCGTATCCTTATATGTTTGATAAAATCCCGGATTCCGTGCGTTCCGGAGAACAGGTCGCGATATTGTCCTGTACGATCACGTGATACTAGAAAAAAACCCGGATGAAAGAACTCCGAGGTATAATAAAAGAAGGTATTTCCCGTTGGTGGAAAAACGAACTGTTTGTTTTCAGAGCAATAATGTTAAAATATGAACATTTAGGAGTGTCATTTCTTTCAATTATATAATGTTTTTGAGGGAGGATTTTGAAATATTAGCAGTACGGCATTTTTCCGGTATCTTCTGGTTAAGGTATTAGATGTATAAATATCACTTTTTCAAAAGGCTTTTAAAACTTTATACATTTATTATTACACTTTACTTTACTAAACTTTACTTCTCTAGACATAAGTACAAAAAATTACAAAAGTTTACCCTTTTGTTTGAAAGATATTGACAATTTAAGATCAACTTTGTATCGGTTTTAAACAACAACAACAACAACAGTTATGTTTTCATTATCTGTAGACAAGTTTTACTTATTTAATATTTTCCATACTCGAAAAGTGATTATAATGAACTATATTTTTAAATAACTTAAATAAATCAATGTTAAATGTATATAAAAAAGATTTTTGGTTTGTTTATTGAGACAGGTACCGGTTATTTTACTTCAAATAAGAAGAGGACGAGGTAAGATAAAACATCAGATATTGTCAAATATAATCGGGGCATCAACTATTTTTCGATAATAATTATCTAGAAACTATTCTTATTATTTGTGCAAAATATAAAGAAAGTTTACCATGCCGATTTTAAATTATAATCATTTCAATTCGCTATGCTATCAAATTTCATACATTTCAAAGTAAAAAATTCAATACATAAAACTTCAATTTTTTCTCAATTACAAATATTAGGTATAATTGAAGATAGAAAATAATCATCTGAAGAAAAATATATCAAAAAATAAAAAGAAATATTTTATCATCTGGGGTTTGAACTCATGCCCTATCGAAACACTGTCTCCTCACTGAAAATGAATACTCTTTAGAAAGAAGATATTCCCTTAGCCATCCAATACTTTAATGTCATGTGAATGAAAGTTCATGATTGACCCGATAATATGGTGTTACGTCAGGGCAAGCGCATTTTCTTTAAGAACGAAAATCGCGAAACATGACAGTAACGGTCACCATGTACTGTCGTACTGTCACCATCGTAATGTCGTATGTCGTATTATTACCCCTCACTGTTTTCGTAATGCTAATTTCCCATAGGCCTCTGGGAGTTATTTTTACTGTTAATGCAAGTGTACCACGTGACTAAGAAATTTGTACTGTTACATAGGTAACAGTATTTTTTAAGAGGTCACGTGGTCTATTTCCTAAATAAAATGAAATGAAATGGCCGCCATTTTGTTCTCGATTCATTCTTATTTTCAAACGTTAAACCCCCGATAGGACATCAAATTTCTCCTCTTGAGTCCCTATGACACTCAAGTAAAATTAGTTTGTTTGCACCCTGGTGAGCTTTTCGCGTATAAAGTATCTTTTTGCTGAATAGTCGAAAAGTGAACATCCGTTTTCAACGGAAGTAATTGCAATGTAAATAATGTGTCAAACTGGAACATACAAGACGATTTAAGCATGCAACAATGGATTATTTAACAAATTTAGTCAGTGAAACGTTACAGATATGGTGGACATAGGATATCATCGTTATTTTTTTCCAAAAAACATTCCTAAGAATATTCTGGAAACAGAAAGGATCCGATTTCACAGATCATGGTGTAAATGGGTTATGTTTTGTTTCCTAAATAAAACCTAGCTTATTGTATGTTTATGATTTGTAGATAATCATCACTTGCTTAAAGAATGAAAAAAAAGAAAAACTTCTCAAGTAGGCCCTACGGTAAAGTACACTTAAAAATTAAAAGGTAAGGACAGTTTAGTTATTGTTATTCTTGGTTTATTTTTTTGTTACAGTAGATTTTAGTTGACAATTTCAGATCATCTCAGTATTTTGTCGGGTAATAAAATAAAATAACACAATGGGCTTTGTGAGTAACCCAGTTAAAAATACATCCCCTTCGTAAAAAATTACTTTTACCCTCGGCTTACGCCTCGGTAACAGTATTTTTCCTCGGATATATTTACTGTTACCCACAAACCCCATTGTTATTTATATAATTGTAACCATTCTTAACTGTTCGTACTTGTCCAAAAACATACTGTTCCTTCTGTTCACCCATCGTACAACGTATTGTAACCCATCGTTCTGGTTTAACTGTCAACCATTCATACTGTCGTTATGTCACCCATCGTACTGTCGTAATTTTTAAAACCATTTCGTATATCCTAACTGTCACCATCGTAATTGTTTTATAACATCACCACGTTAACTGTCGTTCTGCCATCAAATCGTAACTGACACCATCGTACTGTCGTAACTGTTCACCAAATCGTTACGTCTATTTGTCACCAAATCGTACTGTCGTTCTGCAATCATCGTACTGTCACCATTACGTACTGTCGTAACTGTCATAATCGTACTGTCGTAACTGTCACCATCGTACTGTCGTATTGTCACCATCGTATTGGCGTAACTGCCATTATCGTACTGTCGTACTGTCACCATCGTACTGTCGTAAAGTCACCATGGTACTGTCCTACTGTCACCATCATAAACTGTCGTAATGTCACAATCATACTGTCGTAAACTGTCAAAAATCGTATTTCGTAATTGTCACCATTCGTACTGTCGCTCTGACACCATTGTTCTGGCGTACTGTCACCATTTCGTACTGTCTTATTGTCATCATCGAACTGTCGTAACTTGTCACCGTCTTTCTTGCCATCACCGTACTGTCGTATTGTCACCATCCGTTACTCTATTTCTACCCACGATCGTAAATGTCGTAACTGTCCACCATTCGTGTTTGTAACCAGCGTACTATCTTAATATTCACCATCGTACCGTTCGTATTGTTTCACCATCATGCTGTCACCATCGTACTGTTTCTAACTGTCACCATCGTACTGAGTATTGTCACCTTTTCATACTGTCACCATCGTACTGTCATTCTGTCACCATCGTACGGTCACCATCGTTATATCGTATAGTCATCTACGTTCTGTCGTACTGTCACCATCCGCACGTGTCGGTCTAGCCACCAATCGTATTGTTCCCCCCGGGTAACAGTCATCATATCGTTGAATGCCGTAACTGTCACAATCCGTACTTTTCGTACTGTCACCCATCATACTGCCACCATCGTACTGTCGTATTGTCACTATCGTACTGTCGTTCTTATCGCAATCGCCTATGTCGTAACTGTCATTATCGTATTGTCGTACTGTCTTAATCGCAAATTGTTCGTATTCTCACCATCATGCTGTCGTGTTCATCGGAATTGTCACCATCATACTGCCATTTATTTCGCGCTTTCGTTTCTCCAAGAAAACGCAGTGGGGTCCTAACGGAACAACCGTACGATAGCGTGCTAAATTGCCAATCGTGAAAAAACAGTTGCGCTGAATCATTTATTTAAAAGAAATTCCAAAAAATGTCCGCTAAAATGATCCAAGATAAAAAAATAAAAATTACAAATCATATAATGTACTTTCATCTGCATTGTTCATAGAAAATGATTTAAATAATGTCCTCAGTTTCTCTTTCGTATTTTTTTTGCACGGGGCATAATTCTGTCAAAATGCTTGATAACAGTTACTTCCTCCTGTCTACAGGTTTGGGTTTATAATGGTAAAATAAGTGGTGGTCTACAGGTTTGGGTTATAATGGTTTGAACAAGTGTCCATACGTCAATAGACTTTTGAATATATTTTGAGTTATTACAAAAACTTTAAAGTGGTTACGCCGACACACGACGCAGACGCCGACGCTCGGGAGACCTACAATAGCTCTAATTATTCTTAATCGAATAGTCGAGCTAAAAAAGCAGACTGGTTAAGGATATTATTATTTTTTACTCTTTAGTCAAAAATACAGGTATAATCCACATTTCATTTATAAAATTACAACAAATTTCATTAATAGAACATAAGATCTATATCCTAAATGATTCATAATTGATATT